ATTTCAACCTATAACTTAAACTGAAATGTTGTTTATTATTCACCGGTAGAACATATTCTATATATATTATTTTACAATAAAATGGTCGAAAATGTGCCTCGGCTATTACTTTGTTTGTAAATATTTACATCACTTGCGATCTCATGAAAAGAAATGGTATAGCTTGCTTTACGGAACCTCACAAAATTTTTAATCGATCATAATTACATGAACAAAGAGAGACAATAATCTGATATGTTAATTGTGGCCCAGATAGTCCATCGGTGGTCTGTTTTCAAAGTCTGACACAATTCGCAACTGAACCTGTAAATACACGAATACTTCTATTTAACACCAGTTTAACGAAAACAATGTATCAACGGCAATAGTATTTCTACAGTATTAATACACAACCTCGGTTTTCGCGGATCAACTTATCTTAAGTTTTGCAATTTTCGCGGATTAACTTACATCAAGTTTTGTCAGCTTAATATGTCGTAATATCACGTCATTTTTGTTTACCGTTCGACCAAATGTCATCCGGTGATTTGTCTTGTACAGATAATTATTTAATTAATTATGCAAAGTAGCAAGTTAATATTTTAATTATATGGCCAACAATAAATAAGTTCGAAAAAATAATGAACTCTTAATAAAAAAGTAAATTTCCCAACTAGCGAAATCCGCGTTTCGTAATCACTTGAGGAAAAAATCGACATAAATTGCATTTGTATGTTTCTTTCTCTTTTTGGATATGTTTTAATTTACCAATATTTATATTTTTGTATGTGCTAAAAGCATTTAATAAGAATGTTTGTATTTGTAATAATTGAATGGAACGGGATACTGTAAATGTATAAGTTACCCGAAATAAACATTTTCTTCTTAAAGATTGTAACATGTTTGATATAATTAATTGAGTAAATTGAATTGAAAATAAAATATTTGAATTAAAAGCTTAACATGCTACTTTTCGCGTTAATTCGATAAATGACGTATTTATTTTTATTGTTCTCTGGTGGCAGAAACATTCCATCGTTTGAAAAGAAATAAAATAAAGGAAAGGTAATAAAATTCAACCCATTAAGTGAAAACATTCAGGAGTATTTTGAAGTGTAATAAAACATATAAATGTTTTATACCGGTAGCATAGGTGTCAGTGTAACAGGTGTGCAATTCTCGTTAGACAAGAAGTGTAGATCAAAAGTTACAAATCGCGGTAGTATTTTGTCTTTATTGCTTTTCAAAATTGTTCATTTGATTTTTGAAAGACATATTCAAGTATGTTTTGCATTTGGCCTTTTATTATATAACATCAAAAGTAAATTTAAATTGCTTTAGCACTTTTAATTGAATTGTAAAAATACCGGTAGTTTTCAGACAATTTTTCCTGTCGGTTATCAAAACTAAAAAAAAAATTCATTGGTGCATATGTACTTATTAATACATTGATTTCTTTTACAAACATAATTGTTCATTGATTATTTCTTCATAAATACTCCTTTTCAAATTGGTCACCCTGATCGATTTATTTTCTAAAAAAACATTGATTTACGGAAGTACATCGATATACCATTTGTTCCTATGTTCAAACGAATTTTAAATAATGTTGGTTACATGTAATTAATTCCCATAGCTAAAACTGAAATGGTAAAAATAACACAGCACTGTACAAAAGGAATAATTTAAAGTTTAACATGTATTGGCAATCGGCTTGAGAAATGCATTTGAACAAATTTTATTTTTAAACATATATGCTAAAAACAGACATATATTACTATATTCAAATGCATATATAATGTTTAGCCCAAAACAAGTCGTTTTGCAACACTTGACCTTGTTTTATTTTTAATATTCATATTAAGCCAAGACAAGTCGTTTTGTATAACAAGAGGCTATCATCTTTATGTATGGTTTGGAACGATTTACTCAACACTACATTGAAGTATTGTGCATTTTATTTGAAAAGATAGACATATCATATATATCGTATACGCCTTAAAACACGCTTATCTTTCATAGCATTAGAAATATGTTCTTCACTTTGAACTAGGAGGTGTGATCCAAAATAACCTTGACTTTTAATGTTGCTTAGAAACAGGTGGTTTAATGTTAGTAAACCATATATACACGATACTCGTATATTAGAAAAATAGCAGCATTCCAAGTAATTTTATCATATTCAACATTAGTAATAAAATAATATTTATATTTCAAAAAAACGTAATAACACAAACAGTTATCAGGAAAATCATTTTCATTTTCATCTAATACATATATAAAATTTACCTTACCTTATCATATCATATCATTATTTTTTAATTACAATATGAACCTGACAGGTATATAAAATGACAATTAGTTTCCTGTGAGTACGATATGCCTTTGTATCTTTTAATAGACAAACTCCGGAATTAAGAATATTTGGGTTTTTCCCAGCTAGTTTGTAGGTACAAACACACTTTAAACAGATTCAGCTTAACAGGTTGGCAAATCTATTGTGACGGGTAGTGCACCGTGAAGCTATAACAGTAAAAGTTTGTTTGTACCTACCCCACATTTGTCGAGTTCCGGGAAACGCATATTCTTATATAGAATGGCTGTATACATGTACAAAATTTGATTGTTGTTAATATATATACTATTTGAGGATATTGGTGAGACATAAATGAACATCAAAAATATATCATTTTATATGTGTTATACATGGTATTTCAGTCCACAATCCTACAAACTAACAAAAACAACCTCTATTCATCTGCCTATTATGACATTTATAGCTATTGAATATTAATGGAATTTTTAGAGGGAATGGTTCCAATATAATGACAGTTCTTCAAAGAGAGGATTTCCTTTTGCGTCATAATAAGGAATATTAAAGTAATGATGTCTTAATTTTTATTTTATTACCAGTGGGTGATTTTAATATCACCATATTTAGACCATTATTGGAAAATTAACGCAAGTTTCTGATAATTGGTAAAACAAAAACAATCCTTATGTCAACGTCTGGTGACGCGAGAATTTGTTATAAAGGGCAAGCAACACGATGCGGCAGCTATCATTTATTCTACATATTTGATAGCAGATCTGAATTGAATTGCTATATTATCATACCGACGTTATAAAAATAATCTCAAGTCTTTTAATATGGGATAATGTTTCATTTTGATCAAACAATTCAGTTATTATGTAATTATTCACAGTAAAAAATAACTAAACGTCTATAAAAATGTCACCTTGTTATTTTCTGATAATGTGAAGTAGTAATTGTAATACAGAAACATATTTTTCATGTAATCAAAAACAGTTATGCATATTTAAAGGGTAATTGACTTCTCCATGAAACATAATGTTCTATTCAACCCCCCCCCCCCCCCCCCAAAAAAAAAAAATAAGCATAATTTAATGTATTTCGTATTTTTTTATTTATTTATTTATTTTATTTATTTTTTATCTTTTAATTGTTTTCTTTTTAACCTGTATTCACAATTTAAAAACACATTTTGTCCAAAATCATTTCTCAATTACAAAAAGGGAAAAATATCGGCAGCAAAATGCAAATTCCGATAATGAATAAAGAAGTGGGAATGTTGGAATATTCAATATAAGCTAGGCAGAGCTGTAGAAACTTTAGATGATAATTCACCAGAGACTACAAACTTGTTGTTTTAGTCGCCTGCTTGCTATTGTAAAAACAATTACCTTATTTATATGCATGATGTGAAACTTTTGACGCTATTTTTATCTCACAAAGTGGCTTTATAGACAAACCTTTCATTCATCACATGTGTAGAAACTATCCTTATATATTTTTCCTTCCAATTTTATTGTGCAATCTCGTCTGTACTTGCTCGGTCGACCCATGCCTTTCTTTTTTCTTAGCCTTGTCTGATAGATTTTGTTATATCTCTATATCGAACCTGTAGCATTATAAAATCTCTTTTCAATTGTTAACAAGCATTACTTTGGCCAATCGAACAGTTCCGTCCCAATACCAGTATATTGCAATAACCTCATATACTGAATAGTAAAAGAGTATTCTTTTATCTCAAATTCACTATTCCTCACAATGCCAGCGTTTCGTATATTTATGACATAGCAATTTTCTGAACTGTCATATTTATGGTAATGAATTTCCGGCTTTCCTTGGCTGGAACGAATAAAATGCAAAACACGCATCCGGACCTACTTTTGTAAATTTCCTGTCCGCCATGTGTACCATTGTGGTAAAGACATTGTCTTTATATTTAAACGTGTCTGTAATAAATGCTTTAGTAATTTTATAAATTATTATCAAAATAACTTATGAGCTGCAATTAAAAAACAATACATTGAATTAAACATCATTTTTATGCATCGATGGCAATTGTGGAAAAAGGACACGCTTATTAAACTTAGCACCGTTTACACATGTTTACAAACGAATGCGTTCAATTTATTGTCTTTCATTGATGATCATGATATATTATAATATATTTTCGGTGTAAGGACTAGGACTGCATGCTTTTTAAAATTTGATTTTCATCTTTATGCTCGTAATGTCCTTGTGAGGTGTTTATTACGATTTAGGTTTACGTCCATGAATAGGGCCTGCAACATTTTCAATATTGCCGTGTTGGGCTTTCCTTAGGAATTCTGTTTTTCCCTATTTTAATGACCCTTTATCTTTTCTATCTTCAAAACTGTTTTAATATAATCTTATTTTCTTTGTTTTGTGATTTGGCGATTAGAAGAATTTGTATGATTTCATAAGTTTAATAATAATGTAAATGCATTGTTTTATATTTTCAGGGCAATCTTCTAACAGAAATTGATGAAAGACAGAAAAACAGTACAAAGATCATTGAGTCATCCGTGAAAACATCATTATATATGTGAGCCTGTAATTATCAATTAACTGCCGGGGAAAAACTGAAAACTGCCGTGTTTGTTAAACGTTTGTAAAGACGTGGTCCATTCCAGCAACAAGGAAAGACAAAAAGGAAATGTTCCTACAAGCAATATGTGACCTAATATGTTGATTCAAATCACATTTTAAGACACAACTACCTAGTAAGAACATTTTTAAAGGAATAACAATCTAGTTTTTAGTCAGTAAAGATGCTTTAACTCCAGTGATATAATGAACTATGAGGACCTAAATTGGAAATGATTCTGCTGTTTGTATGAAGTAATACATTTGATAAAAAAATGGAGTTTGCATCAGACTTCGCAAACGTTTCGGACGCGGGCAATGTTTCTGTGGTGTATAGTTACGCCAACAATAGTGTGACGTCATTTGGTAGCCATGGTAATAAGAGTGATTTGAATTGTTCTGAAATTATGGAAGGTAAATCTGGTCCACCACCTATATACGATCCCGCAAGACGATATATCATATCAGGAATTTTGTTTATATTCCCCTGTCTAACTATGATTGGAAATGGAATGGTGATAGTTGCTGTTCTGACGCATAAACGCTTGAAAACTGTAACTAACGCATTTGTTGTCTCCCTTGCCGTAGCGGACATCATGGTGGCGATATTAGTTATGCCATTTGGAATATATCAACAGTTTAACAATAAGACTTGGAACCTTGGAAAGAATTGGTGTTTAATTACAACGAGTTTTGACGTCATGTTTACAACCACGTCAATATTCAACTTGTCTTGCCTAGCCATCGATAGATACCTCGCCATTTGCAGACCGTTTATTCATGAAAGATTAACCCGTCCTAAAGTAATAATGATGCTCTCTTTCTGTTGGATTGTGCCTATATTTATTTCGTTTGTGCCTATACATATGAACTGGAATCATATTGGCATAGAAGACTACGTACAATGCGCGTTCCCGGAAGACGATCCAACCCATTGCGCGTTTGTTGTTAACAGAGAATTCGCGACAGTTTGTTCTATGATAGCCTTCTACATTCCTACAGTTTTTATAGTAATATGCAATGTCCATATATTCAGAACAGCGCGGAAACAGGCGCATCAAATTCGAAGTTTAGAACTGAGCGCACATAAACATCATAGAAAAGGCAAGTTAAAACACGAGACAAAGGCGGCAAAAACTGTCGGTATTATCATGGGTTGTTTCTTCATTTGCTGGTTCCCGTTTTTCGGACTTAATATCATTGATCCGTTCATTGGATACAAGGTACCATATACATTATGGACTGTTGCATTGTGGTTAGGTTATATCAACTCGATGTTGAATCCATTTCTTTACTATAATTTCAACAGACATTACAAAATGGCCTTCCGCCGCCTTCTCACGTGCAAAGTGTGTCGCGGAATTAGTGAATTCGAAGCAGATATGGTTCCCAGCACGCTGTATACGGACTTATCTCATTCAGCGTCGGCTAACTCGCACTCTTGTCTCCATAATGGAGCCGGGAGACATTCTATACCTCAAGGTCATATAAATAACAACGTGGATTTGTGACATCAGATTAAACGTAACTTTTGTCATGGTTAAACATTACGTCCATACTTACTTCTTTGATAATTTATTTTAATTAGAAATAATATATTCATAATGCAATATGAACAAAAAAAGAACACTATTTTTGAATCTGTTGTCATGCTGGTTATTTCAAATACGACTTTGATGTTCTGAATAAGTGTTTTTTTTTTATAGATTGCGTGTTTATTTTCGTACATGACGTCTTCACTATGGTATCTGTGATAAAGTGTGCCATATTTAAACCCTTCATGTACATATTATACCATTATTTACAGTGAAATAGAAGAAATAGAAATATTTTGTAAACTAAACCGATGTTAAAATTATCTTGGTGCTTTTTTTAGTTGGGTTTTAAATTACTCTTTGATTTAATGGTACAGTCAAACCTGTATTTAGACCACATCCGAATAAAGATAACCCTGCAACTAAAAGTTCATTTTTGATAACTTTTCATTCATAAAATGGAATAAGTACCCTCCAAATAAAGACCGCTTGTATTGACGACCATTATGTGTCTTTCCCATGGTTGGCTTTAGCTTACAGGTTTGACTGTAGATTATTGACAATTGTTTTAGCAGTGTTTTAGCTTTGGTATGTAGAACATTGTTCATGCATAGATTGATTTATTTAAATTAGAATATGTTACATTTAGACCGTTTCAATTTAAATTTAGTCTAAATTTCATCCCATCTGAACTCAAACTAAGTCATTATCATTTTCATTACATGACACGTGTACTATAAACATTAAATTGTTATGATTTTAGCTTTTATTTCTCAATAGTTTAAAGATAAGCTTTTTGTTCGAATTGTATTTAGGCGATGTAAGCGCATGAACTAAATACAATTGTTCTAAAAAGATTACTTTAATCGAAATTTCCATCGTTTTTTTTATATATAAGGTAGCTATTATTTTAGCTTGTTAGCTATTTACTAAGCATCAACGTCAATCAGTCTGTGTTAGTGTATTTCTTTTCCAGCTGTATCTGACAAAGTAAATTGTATTTTCTGAGAAATAATTGCGTTATTTTTAAGGTAGTCTTACTGTAATGCTTATCTGCCAAAAAATATAACATCGGCAAATATCGTATCATTACGGTTATTTCCGGAACGTTACTTTTTTATTAAATCTTGGGCATTAGATTATTAAAATATCTCATTTACAATCAATCATCCTTTATCGCTACTTATTTCGGTTATAAACGGTTAAAAATTATTGAAAAATACCAAAGATTGTGAAAAATAACGTTCCGGAAATGACCGATTTTATACGATATTGACCGATGTTAGAATTTTTGGTGGGAAAGCATTACAAACTTCTGCACAGATATATATTACACAAAACTAGCCTAACTGCATACGGTTATTGTTATTGTTTTTATGATATTGATATATAGTTTAATACGATTTTTTTTATAAAACTGTTACTGCAAAGCTTTATTTTTAGTTTAAAACTATTAATTGATATTTGATGAAGTATTTATGTCATCTGTTATTGACCTAAATAAGACATAATGACTTTATTGGTCCCGCCCCCGAAAAAATTTAGACAGCCAATCAAATCTCCCAATGTTATATATTTTCTATATAATTATGACATTGTCGAGTGTCTAGCATGTTTTATGAAAATTTTATACAGTTTTCATCTTAAATGAAATAACAGGTTTAAAAATGTAAACAAAACTATATTTCATAATCTAAAAACATCTCATGTAAAACATACATACCCATTTGTTTCTGGTGTCAATCAGTCAAGAATTGTCCCACGTACATGTAAATCTATCTTTCTTTCTTGGAAGTTATGAACAGTTTTGTGTTTGTCTAATTTTTGTTGTCGATACACAACTGATGTTATACTTGCCAAAACAACATCAACAACAACACTAACAACAACAACAAAACATTTCATTTTTGTAAATAAATACCACCGACCCAAAAAACACAATATAATCAAAGCAGTTATGCGTATTTTAGCTCTGTCTACAATACAGATTGTTATCTATGACATGGTTTTCGTATTTATATTAGTTATCAATAATTTTCATAATATCATGAACAACAAAGCAATAGTCTTTATTTTTCCTTCATTTTGATTTTTTATCAAATTACAAAAATTATGGAATGTATAATTATAACTGTGCCATATATTACTTTGTCTTTGATAGGAAAATCTGTTACAAATGAAAAATACATGTGTAGCACCCAACATATAATAGCACACTCGACCTTGTCTAACCATTTGTTATACGCAAGTGAGAACGATCTATTTATATGTTTTGGACTGGTTTGCATGTTCGAAAAGAAAACAAAAACATTGCCATTTCTTATCTTGCAATACAATTTTTTTTAACAAAGTTGGTTATAAAGAAATTTTCGGCGAATATTACGATTTCTTTCTTCACTTTTCACTTTTTGTTTTCATCGTAATAAAATATTAATATAAAATTTATTCGATGCTGTCTGAAAATTATTCTGTCAGCAAATTAGCCATGTTTTATTTGTTAGAATTTTTTTTAATTGATCTCGTCACGAAATGACACGAGAGCACGCAATACAGTTCAGGGAACCTTTGCCGGATGAACGCGTGATGCATTCATTATCTTTAAAATATCATGACATCTTAGGGAAACGTTGTCAAGATTTCCGTGTATGATTTTCAAGACATTTGACAAGGTCGTAATGATATACAACAATCATAATTTACGGGAAGCTTTGTCGCAGTTATAAAGGCAAAGATCGAGGAGGAGGGTGGGATTGTATCACACAAACAGGGATGCCTTTTAGTTCGATACCTGTGGTAGTTGGATCAAACAAATCAAACAGCACGCCTCCAGATTCATGCTTATTTTCGTGAAAACTAAAAAAATATATTTTAAAGTAAATTATTGTGAAATGAACAAAGAAAATAATTTACACATTGAAAACAGCACTTGCATTCCACGCAAATTACCAAAAAAGAGGTTTAAATAATCAAAAATTGCCCTTACTGAACTAGTGCATGTAACGCAATCGAAATATTGTGACGCACGTAACATGTAAATTATTACTTCAATCTTAAATATTTTTACATTTCTTAAACTATTAGTACATTTTTTCTCAAGTTTAATGTTCTTGAAAAGTTTTGGCTTATCTCGAGGCAAAAAACTTTGATTTGTTTCCGTCATTTTGTTTTGTTTTGAGCAAATGCATAATTTTATTCATAAATATTTCATAATAAAGATTAATTCTACAAATCGCATGTAGATACAGAAAATAAATCAAATCTGATTCACAAACCTTTTCATATGTATGTGTTTTTTTCCAAATAAGTCATTTACGGTTGAAGGAATCAGTAAACGTTTGAAGTAATTTCTTTCTACCTCTTACTTAAGTTACCACTTTGTCTCCACCAATTGTAGGACGTATTAAATTGTACTGAACATAATTATTATCCCTTCAGTACTCGACCGACCGACAGGTGACGTCTTCACTTCATTTCAAATATAAATTCAACTGTAACAAAAGTAATAAAAATGTATCAAACTATGTCTAAATTTCATCATACAGAAATTAACAAAATCTTACCATTCAAAGGATAAAAAAACATTGTCATTCGAATTATAAGAAACGATCACAGCAAATTTCTGCATGACAATACGCGTGTAAGCTGTCTCAAAAATATAATCGTGATTAATTTATGAGAAGTTCTCATTTTTGATCGTCATTTTCTTTTTAACTCTTTACTCGAGGTTTGTTTAACAAACATGTTTTATACAATAATAACTGTAAGAACGTTCATAGAAGCCCATTATGCCTCAGCATTGTTTTTTTTTCTCAAAAGCTTTCTTTTATATTTGGTGTACTTTTATACTTTTCAACAAGTTCAATTATATGAACCAACTTTTTCACTTGTTGCTTTCTGGCAAAACAATACTGTATAGTAATAGTGACTGAGTATTTTGTAAGAATATCAAATTAGTTTTTTTCCCTTTTCTTTACTTTTTGCTACTTTTATGACGAATAATTTCAAAATTACCACTACTTTCTCAAACGTCTCTAAAATCATTATATTATCGTTATAATACCCACGTCAAACCCTTTCTAAAATAATATAATTAATTTGTTCCCGAGGCATAATGTGCCTTAAATTGTAAAACAAATATTATATACTAGTTTAATTTTGATATGAAATTTTTCTAAGAAACCTTTATAGTAATTCAAAATATAAATGATGCTCTTGTTACTATAAATAATTCATAGTTTTAATTACGGATGTATTGCTTAATATGCGCCTTTGATATGCGTGTTTTAATAGAAAACAGTACTGAAAATGGGTTTCCTCAAGACTTTACATAATAGAAAACAATACTTAAAATGGCTTTCCTTAAAATTTGGTTATTATATAACTATTGTTTTAATTTTGCCGACAACAATTGAGCCGCGCCATGACAAAACCAACATAATGGTTTGCGACCAGCATGGATCCAGACCAGCCTGCGCATCTGATCAGGATCCATGCTGTTCGCTTACAAACCTATAACAAGTAGAGAATCTGATAGCGAACAGCATGGATCCTGATCAGACTGCGCGGATGCGCAGGCTGGTCTGGATCCATGCTGGTCGCAAACCCATTATGTTGGTTTTGTCATGACACGGCTCAATTATGCTTTATACTAAACCCTTATTATTTACCAAACCCCTGGTGAGGTTTTGACAGGTGTTGATTGATACAGTATGGGTCAATAAACTGTTGAATTCGAAAAAGACCTATCTAACATTCCAAGCAAGGAAGTCATTTAACGGGGTATTTGTTTTTATATACAATACAGTTAATAGTTTGCACAGTATTTTAGTTCATATGTTGTACTGTTGTATTATTTATATAACTACACTACACTATTGCACTAGAAAGTTGTAGTATTGTAATAAAGCTTTATGTGTTATTTCAACTTTGTTTCGACTTTGATATTTGACCCATTGCCTTCTATGTCTATATAGCTCATATTGTCTGCATTAGGAATAACTAATTTTGTCAAAAGGTCCTTGGTTTGTTAGAATGTTGCTAGATTATCCTACCCGCCTAATATATAAGCAGATCTTATATCTGTTCTGCTGGCCGAGTATAAGCAGGTTTTTGGCAGACAATATACGAGTACAAGGAATATATTGCCTGGTTTTTATCAGTATGTTAGACGTAAACATTGAACAATGACTTAAGGACTAAATCATTACAATTTTTAGTCATTCTTTAATCATTATGAAATGCTTTGCTGAAAGTCTAGCAGGACAGTCTAAATAATGAGTAAATCTATGGACTTGCTGATATGGTCTGTTGGCAGAATAGCGTTGCAACGATTCGAATATAGATTAAATGCAAGGACCTGCGGACATGGTCGGCCGGATAATGAGGCAACGCTTTAATTACCAGGAGTGAAAATCGTCACTAAATTGGGGCGAATCTCTTTTTGTGCGAATGGTAAGAAGAGCGAATCGATACCATTTCGGCCATCTTCAGTATAATAGTGCAGAACATGCAAAATGTAGAGAAAAGCCCAGCACTCAGCTTGGCTTCTTCCGACAAAGTAACCTAGTAGGACATTCGAAATGTAAAGTAAAATGAAGGACTTGCTGATATTATTTTTTGAAAATGAAATAGGAACTATTTGCACACAAAACCTTTTTAGACGTAGAAACAGATATTAAGAAATCGACCGAAACCATTTTATTTATAGGCAAACTCGCTTCATTAAATTAAGTTGGATAATGCTTATGATATTTATACTCATATCAGAAATTTATCACAGTTTAAGTTACTTAAGTAACAGCGATTACAGAGCGCTTCTGTTTTATGTCATATTAATAAACAATTTTAAATCTTAAAATATTCCAATATTCCATATATAGAATAATTGAAACACGCAAGTGGTTTCTTAAAATAACCAAATATCAAATTCATCCGATTAGCTATCGTCTGCAACGTAGATAGCAAGAACATTATCAAAGATATTCGAACGCTCGCGCGCTTCCGCTGATGCATCTGTTGACATTTTCCTGTCAAGATATTGTCTCATTCACTATAATTTAGTGATTTATTTTGATATTGATCACTAGGAATGACAGCTAAAACGTAATTGAAAACCAATTTCAACCTGTCAAGTGCTTCTTCTTCTTATTAAATAAATGGACAATAAAATGTTTTAAATAGAAACGTATAACTGCAAAAGGGTATATTCTTAAAATGGACACCCTTTATGCCTTAGACACTTCTTTAATCATCGAACAACGTACCATGACTGATTTCTGAAAAGGAAGGTTCCTGTATGTGTGTGTATTTGGTTCATTTACACTAACCTCTGGAATGAACCATATGGGCGAGCAAGGTTTCTGTAACTAGCGCTAACTATTTCTATTATTTGGATTACTATTTAACTAATGTATTAGTTCTAAATAGTATATACCTTTAAAGATAAAATACCTATAAAGATAAAATGCAAGCTTTCTGTAACTCTGTTACAAGCGCCATGTTACTGGCGCCATATCTCTATTTTGTACTACTATTTGACTAATGCATTAGTAATAAATAGTATACCTAAAAATTCAATGCTAGGGTTCTGACACAAGCGCCATATTACTATTGTTTATTGTATTACTATTTGTATAATGCATAAATGTTAAATTTTATACCTATAAAATAGGATGGAAGGTTTCTGTAACTAGTGCTATATTCCTATTTTTAGAACTGTCTCTCAATCGAATAATATCAAAATGGAAATTTCTAAAGTTTGGCAGCAATAAGTTCAGAGCCAGTTCAGTCTGCACGGATGTTCAGTCTGGTTTACATGTACGACTATACTGGTCAATTCATTTTGGTTACAACAGTGTAAAGGTAAACGTATACAAATTAATGTGTTTTATCACCAAGGAGCTTACTTTTAATGCTGACTAAAATATGATAAACAAGATCAACAAGGAAAGGTGGCGTCCATTGAACGCAACCCCCACACGACCCAGCAACAAGAACCAGTGACAAGGAGCCCAGGAGGAGCCCAAACAAAAACAGGACAGGACACAAGGCAGAGCACGGACAGGCTTATCACTAAAATGATGACTTCAATTTCAATTATTTTGTACATCACATCAAATCCTTTCCTATCTGATAGATAGATAGTCCCCAAGTCACTAACATAACGATAATTTTGACATAAAACCAGTTGTTTAACATGAATTTAGTTACTGCGACATTTAACGATAGTATTGTGACATTTAACGGTAAGGGAAATTGGTGCAATATCTAACGCGACAAATAACGTCAAAATATTTTGAAACATTTAGTGGCAAAAGCGCGACATTTAGCAACAAGTGCGACATTTAGCATCGTTGTGACATATAACGGCGCCATATATACATACATTATTCGGTTGAACAAAACACGGTTTTGTTACATATTTTGATACTTACACAGTATTACAAAAAACCTTCACACTTTTCAAAGACAGACTATAATTCTTAGAGCAATAGTTTTAAAATGATTATGCCGTCGTCTAGATGTTAATCTCATTTAAAACAACAACAACAACAACAATAACAACAACAACAGAAAAAAAAACAGATACAACAGCAGCAGCGACAACAGCAGCAGCAGCACCACCACCACCACCACAATAACCAACAACAACAACAGCAGCAGCAGCAGCAACAACAACAACCACAACAACAACAAAAATAGAAACAACAACAACAGCAGCATCAGCAGCGGTGGCAAAAACAACAACAACAACAAAAGCAACTGAACAAGATACTTCCTCGGAATGTCTCGCTTTATATCTGTTAAACATTGACAAAATATGAATTGTAGTTTAATATTAAATAACTATATATAATTATTCAACAAACGGGTTCGGCGAGCTCCTCGTTAATAAGCTATCTAGACAACCCCTGGTGAAACTTGCGTGCTAGCTACAAACATTTAAAATTACATCCTCTACAGACGTTGTCAATTTCCTAAAATTACCCAAAACATGGTAAACATTGTGTCATTATTATCATTCTTCATTAAAATAACTTTTTTTGGGTAATAACAATAACATCGATTAAAAGATTTAGTACAGGTTAATAACCAGGTAATAAAAGCAGATTAAACCTGTCTCATAGTTATACAATGATTAAGCGTTAAAAATCAAAGCACTAGAAGTGCTTCGAAACAACTCGGAATAATTGACCTTGCAAAATTCATGGGATTTTCAAAGGTTTTTTTGTAATAAATTTTGTTCTACTTTTAAAGCGGCCTTCATCTTTTCTAAAGGTTAAATATGTTATTTTTAGATAAATCGTTTCATATTTGTCAAATCAAAAGAATTAAGGTGGAAAATGATGATTTCCGACGGTAAAATACATAAACAATAAGGAAACCCCTCAATTTCTTTAATATACCGGTTTACTCTCTATATTCAAATTAGTAAAGCGGATGATTAGTATAGCGGATGATTAATTTCTTAATCATTTCATTGAGAAGCGGACATCACTGGCGCGTTATAAATAAATCTCGGGGCGTTGTTTTAAGGAAAGCTTTACAATGAAATGATGCACTTTTCCGAGATAAAATTACTGAAAAACTTAATTTGAAACAACACAACAAAGAAAAAGAAAAAAAAGCTGAAGGCCGCTTTGATATTTTTAAACACAAGCAACATGGAAATATACAAGGCAGTGAAACGCATTGTTACTTTAATTTTTCGTTGACAAAAATATGTCAGTGACATGGGTTACTCTTTGAATTTATATCGCTAGTCATCCGCTTCTTAATGAATAAAAGCCAGTTAAATCCTATAGCAGTAAAACTGACAAAAGTTCTTGCTTATTGTTTATTAGATATTAAAACGTTGACAAAATGCTGGTTGCAGAACGTTTCAGTGATAAACAGTTTGACACGAAGTCTCAAGTCCACCCAACTAATATAAACACAATTTCCATCTCTTGGTCTTCAAAAACACCTGGGAGAAATCATTGCAATTTTCCTAGACAAATATAATTGGTCGTTCTATCTCCTTTAAATGTGTCCTTTAAACAGTCATTCTGTCCCTCTCCCACGGTCATTTGGTGGTAAATCTAACATTTAAAAGAAATTCTTTACGTAATAGACTGTAAATTTTAAAACATACAGTTTTGAAAAAATATAATATCAAGTAGATAAGCTTTTCCCTAAAGATTTTGTATACCATTTTATTAACAATGAGGCGCGGATCATGTTGCAATGATTTATCGCAAAGGTCTGCAATTAATGACAGGTATTTTATTACAATTGCAAGCTCAGGTACAGACTGAAAGTCGATCCATATTGTTTGTGTTTCAACATGTTGGCCAGACAAACCGATTTCTTAAATTCGTTGCCATGAATATATTTATAAAATGCAAAATTATAATAAGGTCACTTCTTTTTTGTGTACCAACTCCTTCATAAAGTACGTTTCAAAACATTCACCTATTACAAATGAAACGATTAAGTCAGTGGAACAAACTGTTTATTATCAAGTTACTTCTTCGCCTTTTCCACTTGAGTTAAAGTTAATAGTTAGTTAACAGGTAAAAAACAAAATTAGTTTACATTTTGCCATTATTCCTTTCAATTTTATAATTTACTTCGCATAAACGATAAGTAAATCGCAACCCCACAGTAGGTACAACCCCCCACTATCACCCCACCCTACAAAAAAATCTATAGATATCCATCGTAATTAACCTGTAACATTCAATTTATAAACAAATAAAGGCAGACTTTTATATTTCATCCAAAACATTTCCCGATATCAACACTGTTTGTCAATAATTTTAACCATTATAATAATCAATCTTTTGAAATATATAGTAAATCCAGCTCAACTTGAGCATTCATTAAATGATTATATCTTTCAAGAAGGCAATATTTCTAGAGAACATAATATTGATATTTTGTCTATTCTAAACATTTGGAAACGAAAAATCTCGCTCTCATGGAAACGTATAAAATGGATACATTAAAGCTCCAGCTTCGTGCCTTTCCGCTGGGTAATGCTGGGACTGTCTTCATTTATCTTTTCTTTCCTATTTAATACTTGTATTCACAGAGAGAAGGGGCTTATTATATAGATGTGAGATAAAAAAAAACCGTGTACATTATCACTCATATGATATTTCATCTAGCATATTTCACTTCATGGTTGCCACTTAATAACAATATTCAAACACCCCATGTTTCTACTCGTATCCTAAATAACAATCTCTTTAACAGTACCTACAGCGCTTTGATTTTTTTATCAGGTTACATATTATACGAATATATAATGCCAAATTCTATGTGAATTTTCGAGGTATTCTTGTAAAAACAGCAGCAGCATCCTACACACATGATTATCTAAGCTTATTTGAATCCATACCCGTGGTTATTTCCTCTTGTTTACTTCGTTCGTAAGTTATTTAAAGGCACATGATGCCTCAGAAATTAATAAATATTTCTTTCTGCAGAAAGGTCAAAAGGTCAATGTGTTTTATGTTGTAATGATGGGTTTATCACCTGAAGAAAATTGCGCTAAATGTGAAACTATTTGTGATAAAAGTAACAAAATGTAAACAAAGTGGTATTTTGATTTCAATACATAATACTTATTAACTGTAAATATTATGATTGACAAAATAATAAAAGTAACAAAATATGTATCAAGTAAATTGCCGATGATTAACATTTTTGAAATTTTAAGAGGGCATAAAAAAAAGATTTCGTGCAATAGAAAAAGAATGAAGCAATTTGGGCACCTAAAGGGCCTTTAAAAACAATTTAGATTAAAATAATGTCATAAGCGTCATAACTCTAGGAGTAGGATATCCAATTCTTAAACAACATTGTATTTAAGGGACTCCACTATGGTTTTTGTCATGAAGGGACCAAAAATATATTTTTTCTCTGATTTTTATATATCTTGATGAAGATCTTGACCAATCACTTGCGTACAAAATGTCAGATCATTTGCTCACTCCGTTTCCCAGGGATATCAATTTAATTACCCAAATTTACTCAAATCGGCCCAAAAATCGCATAAATAGTCGATTATCAATTTAATACTGAATATTATCTAATGCATAGTTTTATATTTAAGTGCACACATTGATTTATAAAAGAGTTTCCATTTTATAATATTAAGCTATTGGACCTCAGTGGAGTTTCTTTAAGTATATCTTTACGACATTGATATCAAAATTATAGATACATTTAATGTTGGAATAACATGAATTAAATTCACAATAGTATATATACCATATTTAATTTGGTAAATAACTACATTCAAATGAAATGACAACATGTTCAGAGGTTAAAAATATTCAAACATTCCATGCATATTTTAATTTAACTTTTTTTAAATAGATCATTTTACACTATTTCACCTCCAATATCGACTTTTATTTGATTGAGCTCGGTTTACGTGCTCGAATGTTTGACTTAATCAATCAATAATTTGAATTATCATAAGTAATTTTAAAAGATCAATTTCTCATACATAGATTTGACCTTGAACTTCATTGTGATATTCACAACCTTTTATTATCATTATGTTTACTTTATTCTTTCTCGTTTAAAAAAAAATAAGTATAGAAAATAACGAATCTTGCCACAGATTTCGGACATAAAATTCACTGGATAAGTGAAATATCATGTTTATCAAACGGTTGGGATAAGCTGCGATTAATATGACTAATATGTCTGATTAATGACACACTCTCATCTTATGTAAACAATTTAGATTATATCACAAGAAACAAAAAATATTTTATCATAACGTTATCAGATTTAAAAGAAGAAATACTCATAGAGTACATTATATTACTTTGATTTGATTTTAATCCCATAATAAAATGCTTGCATTTTGTTCGTTTGTTTGGCAGATCAGTTTTGTAGAATTAATTTATAAAATTTGGGTTTATTACGTACACAATATTGAATACATCTTCATCTTTTAAAACTGTTGTAGAAATATCTTGGGTAATGATTACATGCCGGAAGAAAATATGAAGCACGAATACGAAAACAGCTACGAATTATCTACGATGTCCCGTCACTTTGAGAGTAATACTGTATATATAACCATATTAAAATTTTGGCCTGAAATACTAATAATAAAATACATATGCATGACCTTAGTGACCTATAGGTACACCGCCTGTGATAAATGGACAGTTTTGTAGTACTTAATCATGACAATATTCAGGTAGGGTTGTCAGAGGGTAAACTTGTATACAAATTATAAACCATGCTTTCCAAAGTTTAACGACACGGTAACTTGAACGTGTACTATATCTATTCAACCAAGATAGCTTTAAAGATTTTATTATTGAAAGTTACGTTTGTGAAAATGTAGGTTTAATAGTGTGTAGCCCAATAGGAAACATACGTACTTCCTTGTTATAAATATTTTATAAATTCGTGTATGGGTACATATAATGGGAACGTCTCGTAACTTTGTTGCATATCATCATCTTAACAAGTGATCTTTTTCTGGAAATAATGTCTTGTCATTATCAAGGATTAAACAAATAAAAAAATCTGTTCACTTTACATGGATCAATGACATGTTTGTTATCAAGCGTTACAGACAAATTTAAAATAACCCACTCTCGCAAAATATCAAAGGTAAACAGGACACATGGATATTACAAATCTATAAGCGTATGCTCTTTTATTTCGATTAAAATTTACACTGAAAAAGGAATGTATAGTTTTGATGATAGAATTACTGAATAATTACATGTAATTATATTTTAACGTGTTATACATTGTGTAAAAACGTCTTAAAATGGTGGACATACGCAATTATTCGTATGTCTTTGATACCAGTGACTTTGAAAAAGTGTCAATAGTGTACAGCAGCCATTACGATGCTCATATTAAAAATTACTCCATACCGGAAGAAGATGTTGCTTCAACCGGAAGTAAATGCGACGCCATTTTGCAAGATATGCCGGGTCCTCCGCCTTTATATGGATCAGTGTCACGTTACGCTCTTGCCGCTTTTTTGTTCATATTTCCGTGTTTTACATTGATTGGCAGCAGTTTTGTAATAATTGCAGTGTATACTCATAAAAGGTTACATACAATCACCAACGCATTTGTTGTGTCTTTAGCTGTTGCAGACTCTCTCGTAGCTATTCTTGTGATGCCATTCGGAATTTATCAACAGTTCAATAACAAAACATGGAATCTAAGTAGAGAGTTATGTCTTATAACAACAAGTTTTGATGTCATGTTCACAACTACATCAATATTCAACTTGTCATGTCTGGCTATAGACAGATATTTGGCCATTTGCAGGCCGTTCGATCATGAAAGATTAACTAGAGGTAAAGTGATCTGTATGCTGTCATTATGTTGGATCATCCCAATTTTCATTTCGTTTGTTCCTATATTAAACAAATGGAACACAATAGGAATAGAGGAGTTTATTGACTGCGCATTCCCGGAAGAAGATTTGTCCCATTGTGTGTTCGTAGTGAACAAGGTGTTTGCAACAATAGGTTCTGTATTCGCCTTTTACATTCCAACATCATTCATTCTCGTTTGTTATATTCATATATTCAAAGCGGCCAGGAAGCAGGCTTACCAAATTAGCAGTTTAGAACTCACCTCACATAAACAGCACAGACACGGGAAGTTAAAACACGAGACAAAAGCGGCTAAAACCGTCGGCATCATCATTGGTTGCTTCTTCATTTGCTGGTTCCCGTTTTTCGGACTTAATATTATCGATCCGTTCATTAACTATAAAATACCATATATACCATGGACTATTGCACTATGGCTGGGTTATATAAACTCAATGCTGAACCCTATACTCTATTATAACTTTAACAAACATTACAAAGTAGCTTTTAGAAGACTTCTTAGCTGTAAAGTTTGTCGCGGAGTGAGTGAATTTGAGTACGAAACGGTTCAAAGTAGTTATCATACAGAATATATACAATCAACACGGAACTCGATTTCTTCAAAACTTGCATATCATAGAAATAGCTGATAATTATGCTAATTCAGTCATATTCTAATAAGTTTAATGGATAATGTAACGAATCGCTCCATTGACGATTCGCCCCTTAACGACTCGCCCCTTATAACCATTCGTTTCACATTTGTGACAATTGGCTCCATATTATATTTGCTATACAGTATATGCTGTCCATTAACATAGGTAAAGAAATTGTTCTTACCTTTTTTCAGATCATTTTTTTGGAATGATATTTAAAATAACTTATTGATGTTAAACCTATACGTTGTCATTAGAAATTCTGTCTACTGACTTTATATTTCGGATACATACATTCGTACATAATCTCTGTTCGTGTTGAAAACTCTTGTGTTCTACTATACTGATGTGCAAGGATGGATATTTATACAGATAAGGTTGACATGAAAAACTATACAGTTTCTTCATGGTTGGACTACCTACATTTTACGTCGGTAAATAACTGAAATACTTATCCCTGATGAACAGCATTTTGACCTGAATGAAAAAACTTGTAAACAACAAGTTTATGCCTTATACGGGTTCATAACAAGAACAAGCTAGATAAAGCAAATTCTAGCACCGTTAAAGAGAAAATGGGCTGTGCATTTGATTCAAACTGACTTACACGTAATGTTCTCTATAATGTGTTCTTTAGATTAAAGGGTAAACTCTACGAGCGTATTAATTTCAGAACATGTTCATTAGTTTCAGAACTAGTTTATTTCAGAACATACCATGTTTTAATATCTTACTTCAGATTTATTTCGTTATTTTTAATGTAAAAAAGTGATGTGCAATCTAAATATAATAGAATGTGCAATATCATATATTTTTTTGTGACAGAAGTTGTTGGCCAATCGGACATCTCGGCAATTATCAATATTAACCTAGGATTTAATACGGTTTGAAAGTAGTTCCACCACGTGGATTTAGATGTAAACAAAAACCATAGGGTTTAATTTTTGATAATGTAAAACGATATATTTATATTATATTTGACATCCAAAGGAAAATAAACTCCTTGCATTAAATTATTATTTGTTTCTTAGCGTTGGTTAGACCGAAATCCATTCTGTGTAGTTCGAGATTTTTATCTCCGAGGTTTGACGGAAAGAGCCGAGAAGGTGCGAATGGTTGTTGGTGTGTCGCTTTATCGTTTCTTAATTATTGCACCTTCATTTACATACTGATGTCTTACAATTTTGTTGTGTTGGTATGCGCTCTATGGTCCGTCGTGGTCAGGTCGATTTGGTGAATGTCACTAACCTTTTCCTTTATTGCAAGGCCATGTTATAGACTTCATCAAAGCGCCATCAGGGAGAACATGGCGTTGTTACTAGTATTGTTGTATTCATTATAAGTTGTATCGGATGAAATAACTTTTTAATTGTTTTGCATGAATATTTTACCAACCGTAAAGTACACTCGTCATTATTATACCCTTGGTGATATCATTACTAAATAAGTAAATACCCAACATTGTTCATTAGTATTCATTAGTAAGTATATAAATGAAACGTTTAGGAGTGGCAAGGCCGCTCTTCCAATTAATTTTTGTTAATGCTTATTGATGAAAACTAACAAATTAAGTGCTTGAAATTATTTTAATAACAGTCTATGAACTAAACTGATTAATAGTTTATGGATGTACATGTAAATGTAAATGTCACGATTCATTTGGAATACTGCGATGCTATTTGACAAAAAAAACCAACAAAGACATAGTTTTGATATGCATGCACGCTCATAGGGTGTGAACAAAACCATTCAAGCTCAAACCTCTGACCTCTAACCGGTAATGACTTACCATGTACAATGTACCAGACTGGCAGTGCAAAAAAAAAAAAACAGATCGAGGAGAATAAATGTTTATTTCCCCTAATATCTTGTAATATGCTTGGTATTCGCATGTTGTATATATAGGCTTATAACACAGTTACATGGTATGTGCATGTTGTATATATAGGCTTATAACACAGTTACATGGTATGTGCATGGTGTATATATAGACTTATAACACAGTTACATGGTATGTGCATGGTGTATATATAGACTTATAACACAGTTGCATGGTATGTGCATGGTGTATATATAGACTTATAACACAGTTGCATGGTATGTGCATGGTGTATATATAGACTTATAACACAGTTACTTGGTATGTGCATGTTGTATATATAGACCTATAACACAGTTGCATGGTATGTGCATGGTGTATATATAGACTTATAACACAGTTGCATGGTATGTGCATGGTGTATATATAGACTTAGAACACAGTTACATGGTATATGCATGTTGTATATATAGACTTAGAACACAGTTACATGGTATATGCATGTTGTATATATAGACTTAGAACACAGTTACATGGTATGTGCATGTTGTATATATAGACTTAGAACACAGTTACATGGTATATGCATGTTGTATATATAGACTTAGAACACAGTTACATGGTATATGCATGTTGTATATATAGACTTAGAACACAGTTACATGGTATATGTATGTTGTATATATAGACTTAGAACACAGTTACATGGTATGTGTATGTTGTATATAGACTTAGAAACACAGTTACATGGTATGTGTATGTTGTATATATAGACTTAGAACACAGTTACATGGTATATGCATGTTGTATATATAGACTTAGAACACAGTTACATGGTATATGCATGTTGTATATATAGACTTAGAACACAGTTACATGGTATGTGTATGTTGTATATATAGACTAAGAACACAGTTACATTTTATGTGCATGTTGTATATATAGACTTAGAACACAGTTACATGGTATATGCATGTTGTATATATAGACTTAGAACACAGTTACATGGTATATGCATGTTGTATATATAGACTTAGAACACAGTTACATGGTATGTGCATGTTGTATATATAGACTAAGAACACAGTTACATGGTATGTGCATGTTGTATATATAGGCTTATAACACAGTTACATGGTATGTGCATGTTGTATATATAGGCTTATAACACAGTTACATGGTATGTGCATGTTGTATATATAGACTTAGAACACAGTTACATGGTATATGCATGTTGTATATATAGACTTAGAACACAGTTACATGGTATATGCATGTTGTATATATAGACTTAAAACACAGTTACATGGTATATGCATGTTGTATATATAGACTTAGAACACAGTTACATAGTTACATGGTATGTGTATGTTGTATATATAGACTTAGAACACAGTTACATGGTATATGCATGTTGTATATATAGACTTAGAACACAGTTACATAGTTACATGGTATGTGCATGTTGTGTGTATATATATATATATACTTAGAACACAGTTACATGGTATGTGTATGTTGTATATATAGACTAAGAACACAGTTACATGGTATATGCATGTTGTATATATAGGCTTATAACACAGTTACATGGTATGTGCATGTTGTATATATAGACTTAGAACACAATTACATTGTATGTGTATGTTGTATATATAGACTAAGAACACAGTTACATGGTATGTGTATGTTGTATATATAGACTTAGAACACAGTTACATAGTATATGCATGTTGTATATATAGACTTAGAACACAGTTACATGGTATGTGCATGTTGTATTTATAGACTTAGAAAACAATTACATTGTATGTGCATGTTGTATATATAGACTTAGAACACAGTTACATGGTATATGCATGTTGTATATATAGACTTAGAACACAGTTACATGGTATGTGCATGTTGGATATATAGACATAGAACACAGTTACACAGTTACATGGTATATGCATGTTGTATATATAGACTTAGAACACAGTTACATTGTATGTGCATGTTGTATATATAGACTTAGAACACAGTAACATGGTATGTGCATGTTGTATATATAGACTTAGAACACAGTTACATGGTATATGCATGTTGTATATATAGACTTAGAACACAGTTACACAGTTACATGGTATATGCATGTTGTATATATAGACTCAGAACACAGTTACATGGTATATGCATGTTGTATATATAGACTAAGAACACAGTTACATAGTTACATGGTATGTGCATGTTGTATATATAGACTTTGAACACAGTTACATTATATGTGCATGTTGTATATATAGACTTAGAACACAGTTACATGGTATGTGCATGTTGTATATATAGACTTTGAACACAGTTACATGGTATATGCATGTTGTATATATAGACTTAGAACACAGTTACATAGTTACATGGTATGTGCATGTTGTATATATAGACTTTGAACACAGTTACATGGTATATGCATGTTGTATATATAGACTTAGAACACAGTTACATGGTATATGCATGTTGTATATATAGACTTAGAACACAGTTACATAGTTACATGGTATGTGCATGTTGTATATATAGACTTTGAACACAGTTACATTGTATGTGCATGTTGTATATATAGACTTAGAACACAGTTACATGGTATGTGCATGTTGTATATATAGGCTTAGAACACAGTTACATGGTATGTGCATGTTGTATATATAGACTTAGAACACAGTTACATTGTATATGCATGTTGTATATATAGACTTAGAACACAGTTACATGGTATGTGTATGTTGTATATATAGACTTAGAACACAGTTACATGGTATATGCATGATGCATATATAGACTTAGAACACAGTTGCATGGTATGTACGTGTTGTATATATAGACTTATAAGTTACATGGTCTGTGTAAATGGACTTGCAACACAGAAATAAGAAAACTTCGCTCTGTAGCGGCAATTAAGTTCGGCGCTTAAACGATTTTGCTTTATTAATATTAACTTCCAAGGAGTATTCCTACAAAGATCCATAAGCATTGTATAAAAATTTAAAAAGGAGATGTCATTTAAAGTTGACCTTTTCATTTTAGCACTAATTGGCGTCTTGTTTGGAATACCTGAACGATGTTTTTATTTAAGTGGCCAAAGGATCACGGTATGATCTTCCCTAATTAAGATGGAGATGCTGTTAAAACATGTTACGAGTTTTAGCTTTTATGCTCATCTTGTTCAGAGAATGATACAAGCTTGTTTTCGTGCAATTTCACACAAAAACGCTTGTTCAGTTTCATTAAGCAATACTATTATCAAAACCAAGAGGTTCGTCATGATCGCCCTCTGTTCCACGTGCTAATTGATGTTCATAAAAGAATTAGCTTTCGATTTATAGTTGGCTTGCAGGACTTTTTGGCTCACCTGAGCGCAAGTGATCACAGATGGCACTTTGTTATGACAATGTACCCGCCGTTCTACGTTGTTTACAATGCCTTTAAACAACATCTTCTTCCAAAGCACAAGGAGGATATTGACCAAACTTCACATGAATGATTAGGTGATATAGGTCTACAAAGATTATATGAATGGTTCCAGTCTGATGCATGAGAATGTCACAAAAGCTTAAATATACTTTTAAAACGAAATCTCTAAAAACAATTCTCGCCAGAAAATACTATTATAAGGTGTATTTTTGAATCTGAAAATACCCCTTAGTGGCATTAATTTCCACGCTCTGGCTAGAGGACATAACTGTCAAGAATTTTGA